AAAAAAAAAAAAAAAAAAACTAGCCCAGTTTACTAGTGCCATGCCTGTAGTCCCAGCTATTTGAGGGAGGCTGAGGCAAGAGGAACACCTGAGCCCAAGAGTTTGTGTTTGCTATGAGCTATTTAGCTCCACCACCACAGCACTCTACCCAGAATGACAGAGTGTGACTTTGTCTAAAAAACAAAAACAAAAACCTGAGAAATGTTTAAAGCACAGTACACAGTTCTGTGAGCTGTTACAGCAGGGATGTCATCATATGTCAAGCAGCCTCCAGAAAACTCTCCTATTTACTGAGAGTGAAAAAAGGCAAATAACATCTATCTCAGTATTTTTTTTTTTTTTTTTTTTTTGAGACAGACTCTCACTTCCTTGCCCTGGATAGTGTGATGTGGGCGTCCTAGCTCTCAGCAACCTGAAACTCCTGGGCTCCAGCGATTCTCTTGCCTCAGCCTCCCAAGTAGCTGGAACTATAGGCACCCACCACAATGCCCGGCTATTTTTTAGAGATGGGGTGTCACTCATGAGCTCAAGCGATCCACCTCGGCCTCCCAGAGTCCTAAGATTACAGGCATGAGTCACCGCCTCGGCCTTATCTTACTATTATTATGAAAGTAATTTTAATGTTGAGAACTTCTAGAATGAGTCTAGGAAATCTCAGTAGTCCCTGGACTACGCTTGGAGAACTGCTGGCATGGAGCAAAATAACAGAAGAAAAGGCACTACATGATAACAGTTATTCTCTCTCAGTGAGGAGATTATCATTTAACATTTGCTTTTTTGCGTACTTTTCTGTAATAAATAGACAATGCGATGACCACGTAGTGTTTTTGCAAACAGAAAAGAGAAAATACAGTTACCTCCATAAAAGGAGATATTGTTTGAAAGGCCCAAACAATAACAGTGTATATGGCTTTATGGTAGAATTAAACCGAATTCAGACCTGAAAATAAGGGTCTGGTTTCCCGTGTGTCAATCCCTGGGCTGCAGTGCAGAAAATCTTTCACTCAAAACTTTCACCGTTCAGCTTGGGGAGAGAATATAAATGTATACCTAACTGTACTGCAAGGTCCTGACTGCAGCGGCTGCATCCTTCTACTCAGTATTTTAAACTCCCGCGCACAGCAGAACCACCCATCACCTCTACCAGCCTCTTCATTACCAAGCTCAGCCATCAAACTAGTCAAGAGTCGATCTCAGCAGGACGCATGCACGCCAACAAACGCGTGGCAGGCGGGGCTTGAAGGAGACTGACGCAGGGCTCGGCCTCTTAACTTTCTGGCTCCGCCCTCATATCCTGCCTCCCTCTCTGAATGGCTGTAAGGCTGTCTAGGCCAACTTCCCATTGGCTGCAGGCAGGACCGACATGCATTTTCCTTTTCCGGCGGACTGGTGCGGAGGCAGCCATGGTGCGGTTCAAGCACAGGTAAGCCTCCCTTTCCTGGCCCTACCAGTGACCTGCAGGGTCATCACGGCTCCGGCTCGAGTTCACCTCCCTCGCCTGCCACAGGTACCTGCTCTGCGAACTGGTGTCTGACGACCCCCGCTGCCGCCTGAGCCTGGACGACCGAGTGCTGGGCGGCCTCGTACGAGACACCATCGCCCGAGTGCACGGGACTTTCGGTGCAGCCGCCAGCTCGATCGGCTTCGCGGGTGCGAGGGCGCTAGGGAAACCTGGGAGGACGGCGGGATTTGGAGTGGGCAGGTGCCGGAGAAGGGAAAAAGACGGGGCACGAGCGACCCCTGTAGCGGCTGAGCCGGTACACCATCCTTTGTACAATATTGGTCTCCAAGCATCGGGGACCCGGAAAGGGAGGTGTAGAAGTTAGGCGGAGACTGGGGGAGCTTGGGCAAGAATCCTTTCTATACACTTGCCTGTTTGACATCAGTAATTGGGAGTTGTGACTCAATAGGATGGAGAAATGAAGTCGTATATAGTTCCTATTAAGAGCTATTATGTATTGATTACATTGACATCACATGGAAAAAAATGTGTATTATCAAAATTACCCCCTGAAAAGCCCTTAAGAGTTGGGAAAGTACGGAATACATGGATATACACAGAGATAAACCAGAACAAAGAGGGGCCTTTCTTCCACAGTATCTAGTTTCTTCTTGCATGGAGAATCATGGAGGCATAAATAAATTAATTAATTAAGTTAGTTCCTTCTGGCCGGTGTGATGGTTTATGTCTGTAATCCTAGCACTCTGGAAAGACGAGGCGGATGGATGGCCTGAGCAAGAGCGACACCC